CCCGACTCACCCTGGTGTGTGACTCTGCTCCAGGGCCAATCACTATGGACCTTACAGGTGGGTACAGACTCACTGGGCACACAGAAGAACACACAAAGGCTCTGGGATGTTTCAAACTGAAAGGGAGTTTGTCCTCGAGATATCAGTGGGCTTTAGAGGAGTCGTGAGGATATCATAGCCTTGCTTTTGATTTTAAGGTGCACTTGTATGAAAAAGAAGATGCAACAGAGGGAAGTGCGGAGGATCTTTCTCTCATCTAGACTGCTCTGGTAGCTTCTGGTAGAAGGGTTCCTTCTGCTTTCTCTTCTTCCTTTCATTTAGAGCACAGGGGACGTGCATGCATTTGGGTAACAGGCTGTTTTGAAACTTCAGAATCAAGCAATACTGCAGTTCCGGCTCCAGAGGACATGGGGAGAGGAACAGGCTTCACCTTATATGGGCTTTTCTATATAGAGAGGAAGCCAGGCTCAGAGGGGCAGAGCAGCTTCCTGTTCAACTGCAACCACACAGTGCCTGGGAGGCCTCACTAGCTGGGCAGGGGCTGTGATACACAGCTCAGTTCACCCGGCCTGGGACTGGGCATGGCTGAAGCAGGGTATTAACAATGTGTAGTGCCTAATGATGAACCTGCACATAAATATCTCTGTGTACCAAGACCTGTGTGTATTAAGCATTGTCGACACAGAAGCATGTGGATGTGGCACTGAGGAACGTGGTTAGTGGGCATGGTGATTGATGATGGGTTGTTGGTTGGACTAGGTGATCTCAGTGGTCTTTTCTAACCTTAATGCTTCTATGATGCTTTGGTGTGAAGACTGATGCATACGCACTGCTCAGGTGTTGGCATTTCTGCCTATGTCTGCTCATCGGGCAATTGCAGTGTACTCGCGTTGCAGGTATGCAGTCTTTTGAAGGGATGCTCACCTTGACACCAGTCCCAGCCCTGGCCCTCTGCAGGTGTTCTCTCCTTGCTGTGACACCCCTAGTTAATGGCTTGATCCTTTTCTCACAGGTGACCTTGAAGCACTCAAGAAAGAGACCTTTGTATTAAAGGAAGGAGTGGAATACAGAGTTAAGATCCATTTCAAAGTGAGTTGCTTTACGTATTGTTCTACCCATCAAGGGACTTGGTCTTTTCAGAGAATTACTTCTGCCTGTTCATCCCTTGGAAGAAGTTGCCTTCTGTCCATCAAGGATGGTGAACAACAGGTTATTTGGAAATTTTGGCTGAGTTTGGCTGGACTTTACAGCCAAGAGAAAGTCTTTAATTCACACAGAGTGGGAATGGAAAAGAAGGAAAAGAGATGATGACTCTTCTGCTTGCATTGCTGGGCTTGATGAATGCATAGCAAAGATTTAATACTGTAGCATTTGGCAGAAGATACCTGAATTCTCTTGAGTCATGACATATCCAAATGGGCTAGTTTCAACCCCTACTCTTCTGTTAAGCAGTGTGTCAGCCATTTCTGCTGTTTCCAGCTGAGAACAAAACTCAGTCACACTGCAGTGTGGCATCCAACCCTTGAGAAAAGGAGACTGAGAGGGGACCTGATCCAGGTCTATAAATATCTAAGGTGTGGGGGGCAGAATGGCGAGGCCAGACTGTTTTCAGTGGTGAGTGGAGACAGGACAAGGGGAAACGGCTGGAAACTGCAGCATAGGAAGTTCCGCACAAATGTGCGCAAGAACTTCTTTACAGTGAGGTGACGGAGCACTGGAACAGGCTGCCCAGGGAGGTGGTGGAGTCTCCTTCTCTGGAGATGTTCAAGACCTGCCTGGATGCCTACCTGTGCGACCTGCTGTAGGGAACCTGCTTTGGCAGGGGGGTTGGACTCGATGATCTCTGGAGGTCCCTTCCAACCCCTACAATTCTGTGATCCAGCACTGAAATGATCATCTCTGCAAATGTTTGCTGCAGACAAAGCTGGGTTTGGCAGAGAAGGTAAAGAGAAGGAAGATAGTGTTCCTGAAACAGGAGGGAAAATGTAAATGTGTAGACTCTGCAGGAAAGATTTCCCTCTGTCTCTGAGGTTTACCTGCTGTCTCAGATGGCTTTGTCCTTAGACACACTTCCAGTTCTCTTTTATGCAATGAAATATTTCCAGCTGTATTTGAGCCCTGCTGACAGGAGATGCCTGGAGTTACTTAACTCCCTCCCTTAGTCCCAAAGCTGGTAGGAGCTGACACTATGTGAATTCTCCTCAAGATGTAAAAGGATCTTCCCATCTTGTTTCACCATGGAACTGTTCTGTAGAGGGGCAGTGTGTGCGGGATAGGGGCAGCAAGAAATATCCATGGGAGATTCGAAGAAAGATTACAAACAAAACTGTGCCCTCCATCTCCTGAGGAGCTCCTCTCATGAGGAGCTTTGCCAGCTCCTCACTGAGTTTAGAGGGCATCTGGGAGAGTTCAGTGAACCTTGCTCACGTATTTGTACTGAAAGCGTGACTCCAGTCACCCATCTCTGGTTTCCCTTGCTTCACTTTTCTCTGTCATTATTAGTCTGTTCTGGGAATCTGCCTCAGACACCTTCAAAGTCAACAAGGAGATGCCCTCAGACACACAGAGAATGCTGCAGGTCTCTGGCTGCCTGTTGGGAAGTGACATTAGGACTCCCCACAGCGTGTCTTTTCTCAAACCCTTGAGAGCAGCTGTGTGAGGAGCCAAAGTGGACGTCTCTCTAAGGAGAGAAAAAACAGCAGATACAGGATCAAGATTCTCCCAGTGACTTTTACTTCTGGTCACTTTGTGCAGGTAAACAGGGACATTGTGTCAGGACTAAAATACGTGCAGCACACCTACCGAACAGGAGTGAAGGGTGAGTAAGAGACCTGCATGCCCTTCACACCCATGCTCTTTCTCTTGCAAGCCTCTCTGCTCAAATAAGTGTTCCTGCAGATGTGGACTAGGACAGGGCCTCCCTGTGCTGCTGCACAGGAGATGTGGCTTCTCAGCAGAGTGCATTTGCCTGCACTTTGTGTCACCCAGGCCAACTGTTTCCTGTGCCTGTGTGAACTCATTACAAGCCAGCTCTGCTGTCTGTATGCTACACCACCAGCTGCAGCAGAAATGTCCCCAGAGATGCTGTTCAGACGGTGTTTGCCACAGGCTTCCTCTTCACCTCCCCCACCAGCCCTTGAAGTGTGGCTCAATCCTTGTGGAGATTCTCACCCATCAAAGTTTCTTCCAGATGCACTTGGTAAAATTCACAGCTGCTCTGCAGAGCTTCCCACTGTCTGTGGAGGATTGTGCTTGCCTGTAGCCTCATGTGTTTTTACAGTCCTGCCCTGCCTGGGCTTGTCAGAGGAAAGCCCCATTTTGCACATGCATCCCACATGTATTTTTGCATACAACCACCACTAAGGCTCCACTGTCTCATTAAGCATGCAGGTAATGTCCTCTGATCAGAAGAGAGAAGTAACAGAGGATAAAGAGAGATCTATATCTGTGTGTTGAGGCTGCATACTTCCCACAGCTGTTTGTTGTGAGAGCAGCATAGAGATGTGAGAGGGTACAGACTTAACTCCCTGCCCATCTTAGCCCACTTTCTCACTTCCTTCACTGATGGTACCCCTTGCTGGCCACGTCCCTTTCTCTCACCACTCTGCTATTTCCTTTCTGTCAGTGATCTGTACTTGTGTTCATAGCTTTTTCTCTCCTTTATTATTCCCCTCCTGAGTGTTTCATTGCATGTGGATTGTTTTCTCCTAGTGGACAAAGCCACATTTATGGTTGGCAGCTATGGGCCACGGCCAGAGGAGTATGAATTCCTGACGCCTATTGAAGAAGCTCCTAAGGGGATGCTGGCTCGAGGCACCTACCACAACAAGTCCTTCTTCACGGATGATGACAAGCACGACCATCTCACCTGGGAGTGGAACCTGTCCATCAAGAAGGAATGGACAGAATGAGCTCACCCCATTTGCCTTCCCCCTTCCCTTCCCTTTGCCTCCTGCACCAGTCTCCAGGTGGGCCATGCCCACCACGCTGCTCCATCCTGCCACCATGGCCGGCCACAGCCCTTGCAGCTCTCCTCATGGGTGCTGGGGCTCTGTGCCAGCCTTGGTTGATGCACAGGCCTGCAGGTGGCCTTTGCTGCTTCTTCTGATACACTGAAAATAACCCGCCCATTCTCACCACCATCCCATCATGACATGCAATGGATTAAATTGGGAAGCATATCCCGCCCTTTCCCCCAGTACTTCCTCTTGTTGCCTCCATCTCTCCTCCTGTATCAACTCTGGTCCCGGGAAGTGCCTTTTCTAGGAAACAAGATCACCTCGCCAGCTCCTTGAGTCTCCTGGCAGGGCAGACTGGTCCCTGGAAAATCCCTCTCTGAGTTACACTTGCCATGTGCCCTGACTCATTGTGAATGGCTACTAATATCTCCCATGATGGTCTCCTGGTTTGTATCTGGTGCCCCACCCCGTTGAAATCCATTATTGTGCAGGCAAAACCAGTCAGGGGGATGCAGCTAGATGCTGTAACAAGACATCATTGTCTCAAGAATAAAAGTGATTTCTTTCTTCTTCTCTGCATGAGCGTCTCTTTCTTTTCTGGAGTATGGCTCCTGATACTTCAGAGTTTGGCAGTGAGGCGCATGTGGCATTCGCTTCTCATGTTTAATATTTCCCATGGCGACTGTTGTCATCCACCAGAGGAGATACAGGAGCTGCATGTCCCACTGGCTGAGCAAGTACATGGGAGCATCTGTGAGACCCAGTGCCCAGGGAAGTGCAGGGGAACCCTCTAAACAGTGGTGTGGTTGAGATGCCCAACACTGTGTGTGAGGGCATACCAGCAACAGTGTTGGTGAGTTTGCCCAAGGCTGATGACTGTGCAGCAGGGAGGCCCGGGACTTTCTCCCAGCCAAACAGTTATCTCAGGAGCTGGAAGCTTTGCCCTGGCCAGCTGCTCCTTTCCCATCACATGGGAGTGATTGCGAGCCCCAGAAGCAGCTGACGTGTCGCTTGCCAAGGAAAGGTGTGGAGCAAGGTGGCATGGTGAAGAGAAGGCAAGCAGGCACCATGGGCACCTCTGTCTTCTCATGTCTCTTTGTTATCCTCCTAGCTGGGAGCTCCCCAGCAGGCTGTGCTGAAGATAACAGCTCTACATCCCACAGTAAGTGAGCCTTCTCAGTCCTTCTCCTCACCCAGGGTGTGCTATACAAGCTGTGCATCGAGCTGGTGGGAGAGATATGGGGGGGCATGTAAGGGGTGAGATGCTCACATGGGTATGTGTGGGAGCATCAGAGCTGCTCTTCTGTACCCTTGGTCCAATTCTAACCTTTTCTCTCCAGGCACGGAAGGAGGTACAGAGAAACCTGTCCTATTGAATGACGTCGCAGATGTGGAAGCCTTCATCAGTGGTGCGGAGGTGGCAGTTGTTGGGTTCTTCCAGGTGCGTTGGCAGCAACTGTCCTCTGACATGTCAGACATGTTCCATCTCAGGTGGGAGCCCTATCTCTGGTGGGACAGCAGGGTTGACGGGGCCCTTCATATACCTCCACGCAGTGCCTCCTGCCATGGAGACATGCTGGAGTTGTGATAGACTTGAAGTTATGAAGTGAGGGGTGCGTGGAGTGGGAAATGGAGCAAGGGGGGATGTGAGGCTGTTGGTAGGAGCCTGGAGTGTGAGAAAGAAAAATGCTGCAGGAGAAGGAAAAGGGGAATGTGGGTGGCAGAGAAACTGAGTGCTGTGGCACAAGATGAGTGGGAACATTGGCTGTTGGCTTTGGTCATTGGTGGCAGAGCAAGGCACTGCCTGCATGGCACGGCTGGGGAAGCTGGGTCCCAGGGAGCAGTGATGGTGGAGATTGTGTCTGAGAGGATTTGGGCTTAAGCTCATTTTTCTCTTAGGGAGAACAGAGGCACGGTCCCTCTGGCTGCTTTGTTCCCCAGAGTTGATACCCTTGAGGTCTGTACCTCTCCATGACCAAATTAAATTGAAATGAGGCATCAGAGTGACTGATAGGTGCATGTGTCACTTGCCCCTTTTTCCTGCTACTTGAACTCTGGACTGCATACACTGCTCATGCCAGAGAAGACTTAATCCTTCCAAAATTAACTTCCCTCTGCAAGCTCCTTCCTCCTCCTGCCTTAGTCCTGGGGCTGGAGAGCAGACTAGGGAGGGGAGTGGGTTAAGGCAATGACATCTTGCAGCACACTGCAGAGTGAGGACTGCTGCTTCTGTAGCAACAAGTGTGTGAATGCTGGAAGCGTTTGCCCCAGGCCTTGCTTAACACCGATCACAGAGCACTAGCTGCCTGGGGCTGGGGCCTGCAGGCATACAGAGTTCTTTAGGGGCCTCTCTGGCAGCACTGTAGCCCTACAAGCCACAGAGGCTGTAGGTGTCTCCTTCTCTAGGGCAGCTGGCTGGGATTGCAGCAGGGCTGGGACCTCCTGTGGGCAGTTTCGTGCCGCCAGAACCCCATGCCACCTCTGCCTCCCTCCCATGGCATAGTTTCATTTATCAGCATGGGTCTAGGCAGCACAAGTTGCTAGGGCAGGGAGGGCTGAGTGTGCCGTCCTGAAGTGTGGGGACAGTCCTGGCTGCCAGGAACACAGGGCAGCAGCCAGCAGCCTGGCATGTGTTCAGTGCTTGAAGCACAGCAGGGCTCTGTTTAAGCGGCAGATAAGGACCTATGAGTGCCATGAGGCCTTGTCTTGGCCCTCTGCCCAAGGATATATTCATCCACATAATGCCTGCGTTCCCTGCTCACCATAAATCATTTCTCTGCTGCAGCCTTTCAGCTCACTGCAGCGCACAGCTCAGCAAGCTGTGCCTGTAATGAGCTGGGAACTGCATGCCACGATGGAAAAACAGCGTGCTGCCCCGTGTGCTGTGTGAGAACAGGGCCTGTTCAGCCAGACCAAACCCATCTTTCATAGGAATGCTCCAAAACAAAGCAAATTCCCACACCATGCCTTAATGCAATCACCACAGCCATGTCGACGCGCTGGCATTTCCAAAACAAGTCACAAGAACTGTTTTCCTTTCACTGCAGAAGGAATTTTGTTTTCTGTTCTCTCTGGGCTTGCAAACAGCTGAGCTGACAGTTCAAAACGAAAAGAAAAACAAAACAGCTTCCAAGCAGAGACTGTGTCTGGAGAATTTGAATCTAAAAAGTATCAAAAATACATCCCTCAGCAGAGAAGTTAGGAATGGGAATAAGAAGGCATGCGTTAATGCAGCCTCAGGCTGGAGCTAATGCTCTCACTAGATGTGGTAAGCCCGAGGTATTTAACAGGTTTAACAGCCCCCTGGACTCCAGAATCAAGAGACTCTCTTAAAAATGATCTATGTATATAATGCATATAGCATGCGTATAATGCATACGTGTACGTATGTAAGGGTTACACCTGGGTTCTGACTTTCTCGCCTCCTTTCTGAGAGCTCCAGGGCTTCACATCACCGCAGGGTGCACAGGGGGCAGCTGCAGCCCCGTGGCTCCCAGCGCCGGGAGGAAGACGAAGAGGAAGGCCGCGCACCCGCAGCTGCGGGAAATGGCGGAGCGAGGCGCCCCGCGGGCGGCTCCCGGGGCGGCCGGTAGGTGTCGCCCTTACGCCGTCGGGGCGCCGCTCTGACCGCCCTCTCTCCCTGTGCCCGCAGGAGCCGGAGAGCCCCGAGGTGTCGCAGCTCCGCCTGGCGGCCGCGCGGATACCAGAGGTGCCCTTCGCGCTCAGCAGCAGCTCCGCGGTGCGGGAGCACTACGGCGTGGCGGCGGCCACCGTCACGCTGTTCCGCAGGGTGCGTGCGCGGCGGGGCGCTCGGAACGAGCTTCTTTACAATGAATGGGGGCTGTGTTCTGAGTGGCTCGCATGGAGTGCGGCGTGACTTGGATGGGGTTCCCGTGGCTTTGGAAAGGCTCCTGAGGCACATGGAAGGCATCTCCCGGCAGTGTTACAGTGAATCAACACAGCAGGAAATCACATCTTGCCAAGCTCACTTCAGGCAGGCTAAGCTGGCTCCGTGCATGCCCAATTTTTCCATCAGAGGCGGAGCAGGGCTCTGCAGCGACAGATGCCGTGCCACCAAATGAAATCCCCAACAGTAGATCCCTCGTAAGTCTAACACTGTGGTTGATGTGCTATTCTTTGGGCATGGGCCCATTCATAATTGTAGAATCACAGAATCATTATGGTTGGAAAATACCACTAAGATCACCTAGTCCAACCATCAGCCCATCCCCACTGTGCCCATTGACCATGTCCCTCAATGCCACATCCACATGGCTCTTGAATACCTCCAGGGACAGTGATTCCACCACCTCCCTGGGCAGCCTGTGCCACTGCAGCACCACTCTATTAAGGGCAGTGTGCCCTTGTGGTAAAGATGACCAGTGGCTGATAGTGATAGGACATGGAGTAATGGCCTAAAATTTGACAATAGTAAGTTCCAAAGACATGTGGAAGAACTTCTGTATAGTAAGGGTGACAGACCACTGGAATAGGTTGTCCAAAGAGATTGTGGAGTTTTCTTCTATGGAGATATTAAAGATCCGTCTGGATGCCTACTTGTGTGATTTACCGTAGGGGACATCCTTTAGCAGGGGGGTTGGACTCAGTGATTTCTTGAGGTCCCTTCCAACTCCTGCAGTTCTGTGATTCTGTGATTCTAAGAAATTTTTTCCAACCTGAGCCTCCTCTGGAACAACTTGAGGTCATCACCTCTCATCCTATTGCTCTTACCCAGGAGAAAAGGGTGACTCCCATCTTGCTACACCCTCTTTTCAGATCACTGTAGAGAGTAATAAGGTCTCGCCTGAACCTTGGGTACAGGGGTACAAAACTAAACACAGCACTCAAGGTACTACTTTGCAGTTTCTGAGGGATGGATGCTGTGCAAACTCAATTAATTTTGACTGCAGCCATAGTTATCTTGTTCTGAAATTGAAGGTATTCCTACTGAAATATAAGAAGATGATATTTTGAAGGGGTTTTTGAAGGGCCATGTACTTACTGCAAGAATACCACCAAAAGCCAAGAGCAGGCATATCAGTTTCCTGGGATTGCACTTGAAAACAGGGGAGAGAGGTGCCTCAGAGGAGAGGGGCCTTAGGAAGTGCAAGATATCCTAAAAAGCTACAAAGTGCAGTGTTACAAGAGGTCTAAGCACACTGGCTGGTTGTTCTGTGTGCTACAGAAGCTGCATGTGATGCCTTAGTCAAGTTCTAGATCTGAGTTTCACAAAGGTTACATAAAGCCCATTTGTTCCTGTTCTTTTTCATCTTTTGCCTGCACCATGTTTACCACCAGTATAATCCAAATAGTGCAAGGAGAATGATCTAAGAGTGAGCAATAAGTAGACAAGTCCTTTCCTTTAACTTTCTATTTGCCATGCACAGATAGTAAAATCATAGAATCACCAAGGTTGGAAAAGACCTCCAAGATCCTCCAGTCCAACCACCCACCTACCACTGATATGTCCCCACTAAATCATGCCCCATAGTACAACATCTAAACGTTTCTTGAACACCTCCAGGAGTGGTGACTCCACCACTCTCCTGGGCAGCCCATTCAAGTGCATGACCAGTCTTCCAGGAAGAATGTTTCTTAATATCCAACTTGAATCTCCCCTGGTGCAATGCTGCAATTGCGATTTGAAGTAACACTCACCTCAGTTTTGGTTCTTAGCCATGATGATTTTCTTCCAGAAACACTGAAAAGATCCTTTGTTTTTACTCTGTGGCAGATAGTGAGGATTGAATACTGCACTGGGATGGTGTTCGATAAAAGAAAGTTTGGATTGTTCAAATTTGTGTTCTATGGTTCACGGTTCAATTTTTACAGCTGAATTCTTATTTAATAAGGAAAAAAAAATCAAGAAACAAAGACACTAGCTAGGTTCAAATGAGGTTGGCAATTCTTTTGTCTAATTTTCTTAAATTTAAGTTATTTTTCTGAAATTTAAGTTATTCAGACACATTACTTTTCCTTTTATTCTGAACACTGTGTAGGAGTAAGGAGTCAGAGCTAAGAAATAAAAGTAAAAAGAACTGAGATGGGAACTTAGAATCAAACATTCATTTGAAGAATACAAAGATGGGTGACCAGGATGACAGTGAATCAGAGGCATAAACTCATCCTTCCTTGTTTTTGCATAGCGTGAAACACACATAATGCTTAGAAATTTGTAATTACAGTAGTAGGATGGTCTGCTGTCAACTGCTGAAATGTTTTTGTGTACAGTGGAGCAAAGCTAATTTATTCTATTGAAGAATCTAGCTTGACAGATCTAGAAGGACATAACTAACAGAAGTAAATAAGCTAATTACAAAGAGTAATGAAGACATTTTGGGCAGAGCTTCAACTATTAGATGCAGACTATTTTCAACCTTTTTTTTTTTCTTGGGATCCTGAATGCTGACAGCACATCAAGGATATTTTTACCCCTAGATGGAAACCAGGTGTTTGCAGAAGTTCACTAAAGTTAAGAGAAAGTTTTCTGTGCTTAGATTGGGTCCCAAAGTCTCTCTGATCTCACCTGCTCAGGTGTTGCACCAACCTGATCCCATTCACTAGAGTAGAGTCACCCTTTCACTTTATGCTGGGGCAAATCTGTGAGAGAAATCATGCTGCACTGTCTGAAAAACACCCGTTTGGGTTACCAGACCCAATGGCCCCCTACCAGATCAAAGACGTTGCTAATGACCACAGAAAAGCAAAAAATTTTGTTAGATGTCTGCACTCTGCTGGAAAAACTAACACAAGTGTTTTCAGAGGTTGTACAGATGCAGAGGATAAAATCCGGGGTGTGCATGTGGACATTTCCTCAGCTCTAAGAGCCTCATTCAACACGAGTATGAAAAGTCTTCAAATCCCAAACTTTGATCCCACTGGTTGTTGCAGCCTAGCACGCCCGTGGCTCAACTCATTCATCTCTTGCAATGGTACCATAGAGCAACTATGCCCTGCTGGCTGGTTTGGCCTTTATTTGATGTTTGACTGCTCTTTTTTTTTCCTGTTTACCAAGTCAAGCAAACCTCAATAAAATTACACTGGGGGTGAGAGGGGGTGAGTGTGGGAAGATGTGTGGCAGGATGGATTTTCCTCTAAAGCTAAAATGTGCTGTGCTTGATTTTTTATTTTTTATTTTTTTTCTGCTGTTCTGGAAAAAAATCCTCTTTTTATTGGAGAGATTTCCTGCTTGCACAATGTTTCCAGGAAATCCATACAGTCCATGCCAATGTTTATTACTTGTAGAAGAAATAGAATAAGCAGATGAAGATTTTAAAGAGGAATATAAAGCCAAAATCAATGTAAGGAATTAGGCTATGTTAATGATCGCTTCTCACAACTCCTAGATTAGTTTATTGGCTAATCTTCCCTGTCTCCAGTGCAGTAGGAGCAGATAACGATAGGACATCTTGTCCTCAGCATATCACCGAGAACGTCTTGTTCTCAGTGATGTGCCATGACTTTGCTTTGTCCTTGGGAGACTGAGGGAGGGTGGAAGATCCTTATGCCGAAGTGCATGCAGATCTCTGTAGGTCTAATGGCTCAAGAAATGGCGTTTTTATTCTGGAAAGAAGACAAAGATGGTGTCCTGGGGGGTGGGTGTCCCCGTGAGTGAGTGCCATCAGCAGCTCTGAAGGAAATAAGGGAGGGACAGCTGTGACCTGTGGTATCTTTGCATGTCTTCAGGCAGACAAAGAAAGGATAGATATGGACATGGACAAAGAAGAAATCGATGCCGATAAGATGACTCGTTTCATTCGAATGAATGAGCTCCGCCTGGTGACAGAGTACAACCCTACGGTAATTAGCAGCTCCTCACTGCCCTCACCCCAGCACCTGGCCTCCTCCATAGCTGCCTCCTCTGGCTCAAGTGTTTATGCATGACGATGTGTGCAGGGGTTGCCACAGTGGTGTAGATGGAGTTGGGGGAAGCCGGTGCATATCTTTGCTGCTGCTGAATGACGTGGGAGCAGATCTTGCATTGGATTAGACAGGTGGGGTGGAGAGAGGATAGAAGGCACTTTCTCCGGTCTCCCAGTAGATTTGAGACATTGGTGGGCAAAGAACTGCATTTCTTACCACTCCTGCTGCTTCTTCCCCGGGGCATTTGTCATGCTGTACCATGCCTACAGATCTTGCTCGGCCAGGATCCTCTCTCTGTGGCTGAGAAACCTCAAGAAACATGGAAATCCAGTGACCTGCTCCTTGGAGCAGGTTTTTCTTCATCACCCAGAAAAATGGACTTAATATATGTCTGGCTATTTTAAATCATATTCAAAAACTGGTAGGAAACTTCCCAAACAAAAATTTTCCCATCCCCTCCATCCTTTACCCCATTGTTTGTCAACTCTACAAAAAAAAAAAAACAGACATAGGATCATAGAATCATAGAATCATAGAGTCATAGAATATCCTGATCTGGAAGAGACCCGTAAGGATGTGCAAGTCCAACTCTTGGCTCCAACACAGGGCAACCCGAAAATCAGACCATATGCCTGAGAGCACCGTCCAGATGCTTCTTGAACTCCAGCACTTGGGGCAGTGCCACTTCTGTGCAGCCCGTTCCATGCCCACCGCCCTCTGGTGCAGACCCTGTCCCTCACCCCCAGCTGCCCTCCCCTGACGCAGCTCCATGCCGTTCCCTGGGCCCTGTCGCTGTCACACTGAGCAGAGCTCAGCGCTGCCCCTGTGAGGAGCTGCAGCCATCAGGCCTCCCCTCAGCTCCTCTGCTCTGGATGAGCAAACCAGAGGACTTCAGCTGCTCCTCATATGCCGTGTCCTCCAGACCCTTCATCATCTTTGTAGTTCTCCTTTGGACAATCTCTGATAGTTTCATGTTCTTTTTGTACTTAATGCTTCCATGCTGGTCATCTTCTTTAGCTTACCCTCCTGTCTGGCACTTGGCACATCTCCTTCTGCCTACAGAGGGTGACCAAGGATTCAGGCTCCCCTGAAATGCTGGCAGTTCACTGGGATGCTTGCTATGGAGCAAGTAGATTTTATAACACCAGCTGACTGCAAGGCTGAGACTGTCATTGCTAACAGTGTCTTCTCAATAGCTCTAGCAATGCTGATCGTGCTCAGTATAATCAAAGGAGGATGGCCTGACCAATTTCAAAGCTGTATCTTTTCAAACAGATGCCAAACATCAGCTAAGAGGGCTGGCACATTCCCCAGTTCAGGTTCAGCATGCTATTTTGGGAGAGCATTTTGTTTTAGAAATGCAGCATTTTGTTTCTGAAGTGAAATACTGTAGAATCTTTTTTCTGCTTTTTTTTTTTATTTTATTTTTTTTAATAATAATTAAAACACAGTTTTTTTTTTTTTTTCCTTCTGAGAAAGGATATGAAAAACATTTCAAAATCACAGAACATTTCCTAGAACAGAAAAGCTATATCTTGCCCCACTGTCCTGACAACTCTTTGAGAGCGGCCCAGAAGTGACAGAGGGGATGTTCTTATTATCTTTATAAAAATCCTGGCCTTCTGAATCCTTGTGGCCTTCACTGCATCCCTTGGCAGTTCATCAGACTGTAGCTCTCTCTCTGTGAGTTTCTGCTCCACAGTGTCCCATTCAGCACCCAGACTGCCTTTCTGACCTGGAGATCCTTAGCTTTTCAGCCATTCCTTCCATCCTGGCTTGCAGTACATGTGGTGTTTTATTGCTTTTTTTCTTTTTCTCTTGACACTCTGGAGCCTTACCAAGGTGCCACAATTAACAGTGCCTCCTGCAGTCCAAGGCTTGAAACTCTTCCAGCTCTGCTAACATAACTTGTTGGTTTGTTTTTTTTTTTGTTTTTTGTTTTTTTTGCAAATATTTATTCCCAGTGCATATGCTATTTGTATCTAAGAAAGCTGCAGGTCAGCAAAGGCTTGGATAACAGAGATCAAATCAAGCGCTGCCAAGAGTTTCTCTCCCTGTCCCGGGGCCCTAACTGTTTCTCCCACATACTTCAGGCATTTTTATGCAACACTTAGCCTGTGTACTTCCCAGGAGAGTGTGATGCAATCCAGCCGTGATGCTAAGCTATGCAAATCTCTTGCGAAAGTCTGTGTGGACAGATATATCTTTGTGTGCCACTGTCAGGGGAACTGCAGCTCCAGCCATGCCCCCACAGCTCCATGGCTCTGGTGCTGCCTGGCTTCACCCTCATCTCCAGCTCTGGCCTTTTCCATGAGGTCTTCTGACACTCTGCATTCCTTCTGCTCTGCCCTGCCCCACCTGCATGCTACAGAGAAGTTAAGGGATACGAAAAGTCTGATAAGCATTATGCAAAGGAGAAAATCCCAGCCACCAGAAACAAGATGCTTTGTGGCGCAGACATGCACTCTCTGACCCTGTCTCTGTTACTCCTGGAGTGTGTGGAAACTTTCTCCTCCTCTGGGGAAGTGCTGGCATGGATCTCTATGGCCTGTGTGGTTTTGGCTGCGTGTGGGGATGCAGCAGGTCAGCTGGAGCACAGCCCCACTCCTGTTTGGTTTGAGGGAGAGGCGATTTGCCTGGGGAGCAGGTGGGAGGAGAGGTGGGATGAGGAGCAGTGAATACCCGGAGGTTGCACATGGGCTTTCTGGACACTGCCAGTCCCTGCTTCTCAAAAATGGCAATTGTATGTGGCCTGCTCAGCCCTTGCCCAGGCACAGCCTGCTGCAGTCCTCTCCCCACTGCAGAGGTAGTCTTAACCCAAAGCATTTTGGACTGCCCAGCCCCTTAGGTTGCTGAAATGGAGCTTTGGGCTCAGCCTCATCCAAAACACAGTGCAATGCTGAGGAAAGGAAATAAGATGGCACACCAAACTCAGCATCATAAACCCTTCCCACTTGCTTGTTCTCAGTTCAGCCAGGTGCTGGATCTCAGCAATTCAGGGCATCATTACCATGGAATCACACAATCAGAATCCATAAGTCTGGAAAAGACATCTTTGATCATCTAGCCCAACCATTCACCTTCCACCAACATTGTCCACTATGTTCCTCAGTTCCACAGCTACATGTTTCTTGAAAACTTCCAGGGACATTGATTCCACCACCCCCTGGACAGCTCGTTCCAGTGCCTGACCGCTCTTTTGGAGAATTTTTTCCTAATATCCAAGCTGAACCCCCGCTTGTGCAACTTGAGGCCATGAGGCCGACCCCAGCTTCGTTACCATCTCCTTTCTGGTCATTGCAGAGTGTGATAAAGTCTCCCCTGAGTCTCCTCTTATTATATTGTTTTCAAACCTTCCCTCTCCAATTCCTTGCCATTCCAGACATCAGCTTGCTCTGAGCAGACAGTCTCCCTACCTGGTCACTGGCCATCCCAAGGGCAGTGAGGAGCCCTTGTGAGCTGCAGACTCTTGGCTCAGAAATAAGTGAAACCAAGAGGTTAAGTGCTTCCACAAAGAATCCAGATTAGATGCCTCCTGCTGTAAAAGAGCTTGTCCTGCTTATTGGACTGATTCTCAAGGAAGTCTCAGCTTAGGCATAGGAGTTGATGCTCTTCTGGCAGTGCATCCGATATGCATTGAATGTCTCTTTGTGTGTTTCTCTCTCTGTTTGTGGTGGTCATGTTTTTGGCAGACAGCAGTAGGTGTGCTGCACAGTTCTCTCCAGCTCCACCTCCTCCTGTTCACAGACAAGAAGTCCCCAGAGCACCCTGAGCAAATGCGCAGATATCGTGAAGCAGCGGAGCTCTTTGAGGATAAGGTAAGTCCAAAGAGGAGAGTCGTGGGAGAGCAAAAAAGAAAGACAGTGATTATTTCCATGGAAATAGAAGGCATCATGTCCTGTTCTGTGCTACTATTAGGGGAGCAATGACCAAATGGGAAGAAAAGATGATTATCTGGATAATTAAATGGACAAGTTGTATCTGTACACCTTTTGCCAGTTTATCTCCAAGGGGGAATAACCTTTGTATCCCGCTTCCCCACTCTCTCAGTGGGACATTGTGTACTTCCTTGCTTCTAGGCCAATTCTATTCTCTTCCACTGGGAGATGACAAACAGCTGTTGCACTTCCGCCCAGCAATGGTCACATTCCACTGTTATGAGAGGTGATCTTGTACATACAGCTTGTGAGATGCCAAAGAACATTATATAAGTGACCAGATAGAAATTAGTGTTGCAGTTCTTCTTAACACTTAGCCTTCTGGTTGGTTCCTGAGGAAGTGGCTATTTTAAAGGAATTGAGGATGGGTTTTTCTGATTTCCCACAGCAAGATGGTGCGGTAGATGGGATCTTTCAGAGAAATTTCCTCCAATTCCCATCCCTGTGTGGACAGAGCTCTCCAAGCAGTAAATCTTCACATGGCCAATTCTATGCCCGCAGCTGGATTACAGGGGATTTTGGTCCAGAGAACACAGAAAGGAACTGGCAAGCAAAAAGGGATTGGAAGCAACAGGCAGGCATTTAGGACAGGAGATCAAAGCATCAGAGAAGGCTGAGATGAGTGGCAGTGGAAGGGATCTTCCTGGGAGAAATGTGGAGTTGGAAAGAGTTGGGGTTTGAGAACAAGAATATCTGCATGATCTGTTTGCTGTACTGAAGGAGAAGATTAAAATTCAAGTATATTCTCATCTTCAGTTGGAAAGGCCTCCTCAGGACCACACACCCTCAAATGTCTCGAGATTTGTTTATGACAGGACTTCCATGGATCTTGCCATTTCTACCGTCCATTGGCAAGAGAGCGGGCAGAAACCATGCGTGAAAGTCAAAGGTCTCTTAAAAAGTGTTTTGTTTTGATTGATACTTGCTGATAAAAGAAAACAATCTGAAAAAGTCCAGTTGTCATGTGAGATATTTGTTACAGTGGCTCCATTATCTCTGTTCATCAGCAGCGATACTGTTAAGCATCACTGTCCTTTGCTGATGCAGCTGCAGCCCGTTTTCCACTCATGCTTTGATCTGAGTGAAGGGGAATGATTTTCCTAGAACTACTTCACTAAGCATTGGATAAAAAAGTCATACTGCAGTCCAGATAATTAATGAATTACCAGCTATCCAAATCTAACTTTTTTTTTTTTAATTCATGCAGGCAAATTTCTCCCTGAATCAGCCTAGAGGAAGTTTGCAAAAAATAAAATACAGAGCTAAAAGGTGTAGGGGTTTGGCTAATTATTTGCACTTTACTGTGGTGGTACTGCTATACACCTAGATGGAAGGATTGAGAATCTAGTAGGTTGTATTTCCCATGGGATGAGCATTCTGAGAAGCAAATTATGATTCAGGCTGCCTTCTTACAAAGCAGTAAAAAAAGACTAGGACTAGGACTTATTTGTGCTGCAGTTTGAGTTTGCAATCATTGATTTGAGTTTACAATCATTGCTGTGCAGTAAGGAGGTTTTCAGGCTCCCTCTGAGCATGTACCACTGCATAGAGCTTGCAGAGTGCTGTAAGAATGGGGACATGGTGTGTGTCCCACCTGCTCTTCAGTGACAGCACAGAACACTGATGTAGTCTTGAGAAGGTTCTCAAGCAGGATTTGAGGTGCCAATTCTTTCACTCATCTCTGCTGAGGTCTGAGGGAAAAGGAGTCCTTGTCCTTGTCTTTACCACTTGGAGAAAGAATACAACCTGTTGTGTGGACTTACGGAGAGAAGAGAAAATGCTGTTGACCCAAAAAGTGAAGAAAATAGATAATGAGGAGGTGATTCACCTGGCACTTCCTGAGTTATGATCCCTTCCTCTTTGTTTTATGATATTTTCATCTCTACCTGAGACAAATCTCAGGTTTTCATCTAAAGATTCTTCTAGATTTGATAGTGCAATCTGGGGGCTATAAAATGCTGGAGAGGAAAACACAAATGTTAGATGATGCTAAGTAACCAAGAGCTGACAATAATAATAAGATATGTGGTACTTTCTAGCAAATCTTGAGAAACAATTGCGGGTGAGTAACAATGAACAGACAGAACTCAGTGCTACAGCTGCAGGAACCCACCAGTGTCCTTAGAAGGGTCCCACAGCAATCAAATATGTACTCATTTGGAAAAGTACTGCCAAAAATCCAAGCTTTCCACTGGAAAGGAAATGTCAGAATTAGTGTTAGTGAGCCAAACTAACATAAGCATCTTCAGTTTTCTTTCTGTAGTATCGGAGTACAACATGACAATGACATTTGGTGTAGCTCAGGAGTGTTTGTAGACGTTTCAATAAGGTGATTCTGGGAATAATAAAAGCAGTTTCTGCTACGACTGATATAACATGGTTCATAATGTTAAAATGATATGTGTAGTGACGTTCACAAAGCCCCTTTTAGTTTATATGTAGGGCCATTTAGAAATTAGTTCTGAGAAACTGCTGAAAGACCTTCAAGAGTTCTTCTATGAAAAGGAAAGGACAGTGTCCTTTTTCTTGAAGACAGTAATTTATACAGTTTTTATTTTGATTGGCAGATACGGATGTCTCCAAAGCTGAGAGAGATTATCGTTAGAGTTAGTCATAAACAGGAAAACATGCAAATATGGAATGTCTGTCACTAGACGGATATCTGAAGTTGTTTATATAGCTTTTTTTTTTTTTTTTGGTTTGTGACTAATATTTTCATTTTTTTTGCTTTGATTTACTAAGTAAACTATGAAAGAAATGACTCAGACTTCAGAAGTTGATATTTTTGCTTAGACAGCCTCCTCAAAGAATGAAGATAACAGCTCCATAAAGCTCAAGGTCAAACACTGGATACAAGGCTTGATCATCCTTGCTGTTGGTCTTCTTTGGAGAAGAAACTAAGAAACATGAAATTGGTTTCCACCATTGCAGTACTATGTTCAATTTCACTGAACTCCTTGAACAATGCCATCATTCCATATCTTAGCATTTACCGGGAACTTCATGTTCTAAAAGCACCAGGCTAGGAATCAAGTTGTCAAGACACTAAGACAACACCATGTAAAAAAATCTTTGAAAGAACTCAATGTGGATAACATTGCACAGATAATATTGCACGGTGTACTGTTTTCTCAGAACATCATGTCTAGGTAGTTTGTTTTGGGAGTTCTCATGCATGCAATAGCTGCAATAGCTCGTTCACTGTCTCTACTAGCAGGTCTTTAAACACACATACACACACAAGGGGATTGATACAAGTTGAAACAAATTCATAGAAAATTGTTTTTGACGGGGAAAAAAAAAAACAGCTATTGCAGAGAATAGTTTAAAACAGAAAACAAACTTTCTGTTTTGGATGAAACTACCTAGTTTCTACTAGTGATATGAGAGTTGGCACTGTAAATGGAATTTGTTTTCGTGAGTTATAGCTTTAGTAAGTAGTCTGAGCAAAGGCTTTAGGCTCATTTCAGCACTGGCAGTGGAGAACAATCCTTAATTCCCTTCTAAAATACATGTAATAGAAGTGCCTGTCAACATTTGTTGAAGAATTCATCCTAGATAACTGCCAGAGACCAGACCAAGATTTAGATGTCAGAAGTTAGGCAAAGTGAATTGTTTCATGGTCAGTAGGATTTTCCATGGTTACCACATTTATTCTTTATGATTACAGCTGGCTGGGAATCTCTAAGTAAAACAAATTCCTGATGAGAAAATGCCAGTTCCACCAGGTGGGATCTATCATGGACACATCCGTGCTCAAAAATCTGCTTGGTTTCTTGCTGCTTCAGAGACCAGGCTTCCAGTGCTCGTGGCCTCAGCATAAGTTCACCCTACAGACTGCCCCACAGCTGTCACTTGGAGACCAGTGCACCCAGTGCTGTATTTTGGCAGCCTGCAGCTGTGTGAGCTCCATGTGTGTCACTGGAGATATCCAATGCAAGAACTGTGGATGATGTTAACAGTTGTTCTAGTTGAGTTTTCTGTTTTAACTGTTTTTTTTTTTTTATGCAAGGAAGAAAACAAGAATTCTAATCCTCAAACTTTTTACTCTTTTATTTTTTACTATGTTCTTCATGCTCATAGTTTCTTAGTTTGAGGATTTTTAACAAAGGCTAAAGGGAAGAATGTTGACTTACATTTATATCAGTGTTTAAAATGCTGCTCATCTGTTTTAAAGCTGGAGGAACTTTTGCATAACAAAGAAATAAAAAATTAACAAACTTAGTATTCCAAAGTCTTTATCAAATTAAATTCTTGTTTAACATTTGATTTAAGAAAATGCTGTTGTCTAGTGAATATTCCATAGGGAAAACCAAAACTTGATGAACAAATTGGTGAAGAATATGATACCACCTCCTGTACCATCCCTCTGAAAGTGCTCCCATCCAACACTAGCCTATTCCAGTTTGCATGTTAGAAGGAGAGCCCTAAAACACAAGGCTTGTTCCAGTTCCTTCCACTCCAACTCAGAACTTGGGGTTCAGCTCTTAGATAGATCCTTAGATCTATGACCCTTGGATTTATGATGACCAAACCAGAGAGCTCTGGTTTGATGTTTTATCCTGCAAAAGGATGAACTTAGCATTCTGAACTTAGCATTCTGAACCACAACCTGCCTGCTCATTAGTTGTTGCCTCTGGGACATAGTTAACTCTTGGAAGAGACATTGCAAGTCCATCTGTTATATCCAGTGAAACTGTTGCTGTTTATCACAATGATTAACTGCAGTTAGGCTTACATCAGCCTACTTATTCTTCCTATAGGCCATTGCCTAGAGAAGTTTCCATACATGCATATATTTTTGTTTGTTTGTTTTGTTTTTAAGAACATAATTTTAATTAAAAATACGAGATTATTGAATCATAGAATGGTTTGGGTTGGAAGGGACCTCAAAGATTATCAGCTCCAACCCCTGCCTTGGACAGGGCTGCCACCCACCAGCTCAGGATGCTCAGAGCCCCATCCAACCTGCCCTTGAATGACTCCAGGGATGGGGCACCCACAGCTCTCTGGGCAGCCTGTGACAGCGCCTCATCGCCCTCTCAGTGAAAAACTTCCCCCAATATCTATTCTAAATCTCTCCTCCTCTATTTTAAAATAGTTTCCCCATATTCTTTCACCTGTGTAAAAAGTTGTAAAAGTAAAAAGTAAAAATTTACCAAGATCGTTTTTAAAGAATCAAACAGTTTTGAACTAGCTTGAGTGTTCTTGATTGAAAAGAAGGAAAAAGATGAGTCACAGCCTGGGAACTGAGCACATCATCTTCACGTCACATTAATGTTATTTTTGTAAATGCCTCTATTTCTTGTATAAATTGAGTTGTACCCATGTCTGTAGGCACATTTAATATACTAGGCCCTATAGACTGCACAGCTCAAAGAGAAGATAAAATAACACATACTAGCTGGTTTCTTTGACTTGGATGTCATCTGCTGTAGGATTCTATTTAATCAGATCATTGATTGAATTGTTCAACTGCTGTATTTACTTTATCAGATGTATACGTAATATTTGTATTTATTATTAACAGACAATTTAACAAAGCTTTTTTTTATATAGATGAGCACCTTATTGATAACGTTTTAGATTCTAGAATTTTAATCTTCTACCAATTCCTACTGCAACCTGTAAAATATCAGTTGCAATTTACTCTTGAAATGGGATAAATAGGCTGTCAAATCATCCTAGCAGTATTATGATCCTTGGCTTTGTCTTGATCTCCAAGACTACTTGGGAGTCCAGAAAAATGTATGCTGTTCTCACCAGGGCATCTCTCCCCAAGTCTAAACAACTCTCCGTTACACTTGGCTGTGGGGGCAGTGGTGTAATGCCAACAATTCTCATTTCCCAAATTACTGCATCTTCATTTCTAGTCACTCCAGCTGACCTAAATTCATCCTTTGTGTTTTGCACTCTCATGTTCTTATCCTTGACAGTTTATGCTGTCCTATTCTTCCCTCCCATGTTCTTGCAGTTGTGTTTGATCTTCCACACACCAAAATACCATTTTGCCATGCCACCCTGGCTCTTGCATAAATCTAACCATCTTATCCTGATAGCATGCAAGTAGAGGAATCAGCTTCTTCTACATGTGCCTTTGGGTTAAAAGACATCTTTGTTCTTCATCTGTTAAGTGAACAGAATAGGAGACTGCCGTTGTAACATACTGTGGATATATTTTTAAAGAAGGGATAAGCAGACAGTTGGAGTTGTATTGTAAATTTGGATTTGATAAAATACGGAAAAATGCTCTGCATGGAGCAGTTAGATAGTGACAGAGGAAAGTGTTGTTATAACAGAGCATGTTAGGTTTTCTCTAATTCAAAAAAATATTACTGTTTATCTGTCTATGATGACTGTTTGAAGATCTGTTCTCTCAGTCTCTGCTTTGCTCACATTTTGTCTCCTATTTATATCACAGATTCTCTTTGTCCTGGTAGACATTAACTTGAAAAGCAATGAGCAAGTGATGGCATACTTCAAACTGAAGAAGTCCCAGCTGCCAGCTCTGGCTATATTCCACACACCAGATGAGAAACACGATGTGTTGCCTCTGGATGAAGTCTCCATTGAACGTGTGAAGGACTTCTGTAACGCTTTCTTACAAAAAAAGCAAAAGGTAAGAGAGCATTTCTGAGTAGGCTATAGGATGCTAGGGTCTCATAGAAAGATGCTGTTTCTCACGAGGCTCTTAAGGAAATAACTTCAGCTCCTTAACACATTCCCTATCTGCTACCTCCTCCTCATTTTCATTTTCACCTGAATATCAGAAAAAACATTAGATCTTGAACAGAGCAGATATGGATGTGTTTCCAGAACGTCTTTGTTCACTGACCTCTGTCGTCTCGGTCTACAGCAAGAAGAATTCATTGACTTTTGTATGAAGGTCTCAAAGGAAGCATCTATTTTCTGGGAGCAGCAGCTGGGAGGTTAGATGGAGGATGCTTTTGGACACTGAGTATGGTCATGGTGGTTGTCAGCAGTCAGGAGAGGATCAGAGAGACAGTGATCAATGGCAGGGATGAAAAGAAGGCCACAGAGATGAGGTGTACAGACAAGGACTCTGCTGGAGGTCTCTGGAAGGAGAGGGACAGTTTAATCTCCATGTTCATTCAGTGCTAGTGTTCTCTCTTTGTCAAACCTCAACTTCCTGTAACACAGAAGGTTTGTGCATCAGAACCCTGTGTTGTACAATTGAAATAGAATAGGCAGGGCAGTGCCATGGAGAACAGAGGGAGACATTTAAATTTGCTTGTTTCCTTTTATCACTGTGCTGAGAAACTGAGTGATGTCAAAGTTGATTTCATGCCTTTACTGTGTTTTAGGAAGAAGACAAGCCAGAGGAGAAGGCCTTCAATGAGGAACTCTAACTCTTTCTCAACAAACATGATGACTGTGCCCAGAGCCATCTGCTCTTGGTGTATAAAGAGTTCACTTAGCTTCACAGCTCAGGAATTCTTGGTATAATAGGATTAAGGGGCCAAGTCAGTCACAGATTCCCATCTCCATGCCATGCACATATTTGCTGCCTGTCCTCTCTAGGAATCACTTCTCTCTTCTGATTTGCTGGCTCCAGCTCTCTTTCTTATTTTTCCAGGTGCTCTGGTATTGCTGTACACAGTGTGCTTCCACATAACCTCTGATGAAGCAACGGGCAATATAACAAAATCGCAACATCAGAGATATACCTTGTAGCTCCCAGAAAGACTGACAGATCTGTTTCTCTCATAATGCCTCCCATGTTCTCTTTGCTTTTGGTGCCATGCTGGGATCCAGCAGGTTCAGTCAACCTATTGTGACACTAGGAACAGATTGGTTGTTTAATGTCACATATGGTACTAAATAAAGCAGAAAGTGAATATCCTGAATTTTTATGGAAGCATGTGATTTCCCACTCCCCATGTTTGTCACTTAAGGACAAAGCCTGTGCGTTGCTGAATGAACAGGCTTGCAAAATCTAAGCAGACAGATTAGTTGCTAAGAGTCATTTCCCATGGAACTAGACACGTGACCCACAAGTCCACGAGGATAAGAGATTTCTGTGAGGGTCTGGGATCAGAACAGCGCTTTTTACAGCAAATGTGAGCTGGTGCAGCAAAAATGAGTAAGCCCGAGATGCAGATTAAGGAATGGAAGCTGTGGCAGAATGGCAGTAGAAAATTGCATTGCAAGGTAGGGACTATTTCCACAGTGCATTAGAAGGAGAGGCTGTTGTCAGTTTATTGACCTCAGATGTCTGAGGTCTCACTGCTGGCACACAGAGGATGGGGACTTTGCAGGCAAGGGGTCTGAGCCATCTCTGTTCTGCTGTATTAGATGCATGCAGTGGCCTTTCCTCATAGTTGGCTCTGCATCCTTTGGCATGGAGTATGGATGCTCCTGTCAAACAGTGACTGCATTGTCTCTTGGGGCTTGAGAGACTTGGCTTGAGACAGGGAGACTAAGAGGCGTAAAGCTGAGAAACCTCAACATTTTTCAGAGATCGGCCCAAGGCAAAAAACTGGGAATAGAAAGGAGTTGTACTTGTGAATGAAGCAAACACAGATGCCCACTTCAGAGGGATAGGTGAAGAGCTGAAGGGGATGCAAAGAAACTGCTAACCACCACAGTGAAGGGCACAGCAAGAAGGATCTGTGTACAACAGAGAGGCAGGTGTTAACCATGCATTAGTTCTTGCCTCCTCCATGTGAATCTGGCTGATGTCTCTTATCAGCCTGAGGCTCTGTCACTTACGCAGCCAGATTTACCTGCTGTTGTGCTCTGACCTCCCTTCTTCTCCACTTACATAAAGCAAGACTGTTGCTGTAAAAGTCATTTAGGGAATCAGTATTGATGCCCATTTCCAGGGGAAAGCGAGATGACCAAAACAATATTCTGGAATGTGCCTTGTGTTGGCAAAGCTGACGAAATGTCTCCTTGCACAGAGAGCTCTCTCTTCAGAGGCAGGGGGGTGAGCAACATGGGGTGTCAGAACTCTGTAGTTGCAGAATCAACACAGAATCACAGAGTCATTAAGATTGGAAAGACCTCTAGGATAATCTCCAGTAACCAGCCCATCCCCACCATGCTCACTAACCATGTCCCTCAGTGCCACATTCACATGGTTCTTGAACACTGTCAGTGATGGTGACTCCACCATCTCCCTGGGCAGCCTGTGCCACTGCTGCACCACTCTTTTGGAGAAGAAAAGTTCTTCCCTTGTCAGTTCCCTTGTTCAGTTCTTTTCTTGTCAAAGTTGAGTGCTCCCTAACCTCTGGTTGGCATATAGCTTATGGAAACTGTTGGTATCTGGATGCAGACAGATAATTACAATGAAGACGTCAGTGAAGAGGTGAGTTTGGGGCATTATGTGCTGTACATTTCTTCAGGCTGGTAAAAGTGGAGGCACCTGCCCTCAGCCCTTAAAGGTCTTCCACAGAGACGTGTTGAGGAGCCATGACATTGTGGATGTTCCCAGTGTCACGCACCTATGTGGTACAAACCAAACAGTGTGTGGGTAACCAGCCTGCTGCACGGGTGTCTGAGGTTTATGTCTTGGCCCTGTATGGACATGACAACTGCAGAACCTGGGCACAGCAACGTGACTTTTCCTCAGGGCCAGAGGGAAACAAACAGGATGTGAATGGAGCCGTGGTTCTGCAAACAAGCCCTGGAGCAAAAGCAACATCCCCAGTGACCCTGTTCACTCTGTACACAGATAATTATAGGAACAGCTTTTTGGGATTTTCTCTGTGTACACGGTGAGCAGGGAGGTTCATTCCTTCTGCACCTTCCTGAGCTCAGCCCAAAACCAATAATCGTGGGATCCACAACAACTGCAGGAAAAGCCTGTATTTACTAGGAGGACTTGCAAAGTGGTGGTAATGGAGCCAGGGGTCTTGGTCTGCCTTATTCCCCATGCTCTGAAGCTTCTACAGCGCAGCTTTAGTGGTGGGTTTAGTCACTGCAATGGTGCATCTAAGGAAATAAACAGAGGCAGAATCTCATGGAGGGACAAACTCTGTTTGTTGTTTTATTTTGGGTTTGGGCCCCAGCTGTATTATCCCTGACTTGAGTTTGTGACGTATGTAGGCCAGATGTTTGGAGCTGCTTGAGGATACAAGGCCAGCTTTCAGGAGGAGGAAGAGCTAGATGCAAATCGACATAGGGCAGGACACTGTGTGAAAGCCCCTGCTTTGCAGCAATGCCTGAACCCAAAGAATCTGTGAATATTTAAGCTAGCAGCTGAGTCTGCCCAGCAGCAAATCTGGGCTTTGTCAGCATTTGAGACTGCTGTCTTTACCCCAGGGAATGGGGATTGGGTTGCACCATGACGCAACTTCACATTCATCCTTTCTGAGAAAGGATTTGGGCCTCCAGGAGCAGAACATTGAAAATGCCTGGAGGTTCAGTGGGGGGACTGACATTTTTGTGTTTTCTCCACCCGAACTCTTTAGTATGAAATAAATGAATGTCTCTTAGAGTTGAAGACAGGGTCCAATGAACAATACCCACATAGCCTGCTTGGGGATAAGCCAAGTCCTCATGGTACTGCTCAGCTATCTCAGACACTTACTACAGCCCTCTCCTCAATGTGTCCTGATCTTTGGTGGGATATTTCCCCACTCACTGTAAAGCTTTCATCAGCTTGAGCAAGGATGGTAAAAGGGGAAATTCAGTATCGTATGGGGGTATTAGTCAACAGCTGGCTGTTGACTGGAGAAGAGGAAGCTCAGGGAAACCTTATCGCTCTCTGCAATGACCTGAACACAGGTTTCAGCAAGGTGGGGTTCAGCCTCTTCTCCCAGGTGTAGCAATAGGACAAAAGCGGTTGACCTCAAGTTGCACCAGAGGAGGTTCAGGTTGGATATGAGGAAGAATTTCTCCTCAGAAAGAGCAGTGCAGCAGCAGCACAGGCTGCCCAGGGAGGTGGTGCAGTCACCATCCCTGGAGGTGTTCCAGAACCGTGTGGATGTGGCACTGAGGGACACGGTCAGTGGGCATGGTGGGGATGGGCTGATGGTTGGGATAAGTGATCTTAGAGATCTTTTCCAACCTTAATAATTCTGTGATTCTATGATATCTGCAGTTTCAGTTGTTAGAGTCACTGTCTCTGTTCACTCCTGTCTTTGAGCACAGAATTTGTTTCCTCCCTTTTTTTTGTAGCATAGGCCCAAACCAAAGTCTAAATATTGCTGAATGCAGGAGAATTAAATCTCTGTAGGTTTAATTCCAATCCAGGTAGAACCTAGAAGTTCAATCCAAACATGTCTGCACCTAAAGCATGTTGTAGAGTGCTGTGTCTGGTCATGAGTGGCTTCTGAGCTGCTGGGAGTCTAGTCAGCAGGAGAAGGGCCAGAATAACCTGAAGGAGAGGAGATGACTCTGCTTTCTGAGCATGGGGTGGCCTGGAGATTGGAGGAGGAAGAGTGAAGATTTCAGTTACGGTAAGTACTGCTATCCTCTTTATAATAAAAGGAGGAAGGGCATAGCAGGCTGACACCTCTGCTTGTCCAAAAGGAATCTGGACCAACAAATCCAGGGAGTGACACCAGAAGAAAACCCTCCCTGGCAGGTGGACAGACCACAGGGCTTAATCACTCCGCACCTCTACACAGGACACTGCCCCTCAGCACCACTAACAGCAGCCCATGGGCT